ACATTTTGTTACTTGACACTACTCTCCATCCTACTCCCGGAAATAACGGAGCTAATTTTCCTCCCATTGAAGCTATGAAAATACTCGGAGTGCAGGGCTACTGCATTACATTCAATAAGTCCATTTTTTCAACAGTATAACTACTAACTGCATCTTTTTCACAAACAAAAACGTCTTTCGATAGACCACTAGACAACCCAACGGGGCTTGTAAACCAGTGTTTCTTAACCAGTATAAACTCATTCTTCATTGCCTGGGGAATGGGACAGGTATGTGGCACATCCTGGCGGCGCGCCGGATTATTGGAGGATATCGTAGCCATAGAGCGTTGGCTACATCCTATGCGATTCGAGCACATCCGTTTGCTGAGATGAGTGGAGGAACACCACGCTTCATTTTCCGGAGGTTGTCCATATATTTGTACAGAAGTTGGTTATTTGCACAAAACCTTTCTACTAGGCTCTGTTGGTGTACTAATTCGTCCTCACAGACAAATGTGTTACTTTGATTACGCTGCACTACGTAGTTGCTCCAGTTGTCAGGACTAGGGTTTGCTCTGTACACACGCCACGCTGCATCTCTTACCGCCATGCGTCTTCAGGTCCTGATCCGAAAGCACGATGGAGCTTTTTGTAGAACGAATGCGGATGTGCTTAGATCACTGAATTTGACAGCAAACACAATCCAACCACAATCAATGGAACGGTCGTCTGAAAACTCCCAGGTGGCTTCTTCAACGAGTTTTGTTAGTATGTCGTAGTGTGTGATTGTACGTGACGAGTCAACGTGGATACTCTGAATAACACACTAGTATGGTTACGTGATCACTCAGCTCTAGAGGATTCTCTATGGTCGGTCTATCGATCGTGAGTTCTTTGTTCGTGAGCAATACATCAAGCACAGATGGTTTACTTCCTTCTCTGAATCGAATGGGAGAACTGACATGGTTGAAGAGCGCAAAGCTTGCAATAAACTCTTGCGGGTCGAACCTGAATTGCTCACTAGGGGATTCCGGAACCTGTAGATCGTGAAAATTGAACTCACCTGAGATGAGCGCATGGCTGTATCATGATCGCAGGACCCCTCTTAAGTCTAATGTCAGACGAGAGTCCCTCTCTGGAGTGGACAGTTAGGGACCATAGACAACTCCTGCAGGGCAAGTGTCGTCGCATCTCAGTCGCAGACTGCATCACAGCGAGTGTTTCCGGACCGTCCACCGGTTCGCACTGCACTACGGTAGTACAAAATTATTCCACATCTCTTGCTGGGGTGATCGTTTCGTGCAAAGGGAATACCCTGTATCGCGACTTCGGGGTTGGTAATTTCTGAGTGCAACCAAGTTTCCCTTACGAATATGAGGTCTCAGGCGTATGATGCTTGATGTAGCCGCAATTCAGCAAGCTTGTTCAGGAGACCTTGCGCGTTGATGCACATACAAGTAAGTTTCTCTAATCTCAGTAGTGAGTCGGGGGACGAGTAAATTGGATATGATGTTGCGCCGACCGGTGAAAGGTTGGCCACTAACCGTTTTTCTGAGAAAGGTGACGAACTCATTTGTGTCAGATCCAGGTATCTCGTCAATTCCCCCTTGCCTATATGTTTATATGTAGCGTTTGGGGTGTGTTCACTGGTTTCGTCTGCTAGTTAAGTGATGTTGTTGTTTGGAGATGGCTCAATTAAATAGCCGCTGTCGTTTGTTTGCTTGGGTGACGCCACCTTGATCCGGAGGTCAGAATGTAGGCAGTCTGCTACGATCCGCATACCGAAACTCTAATACCCTGGATCGGAGCACCGCATTCACAATCCCTGAGCCACATTTTCTGTAACTTGGCGATCTGCGTAGATCGATTGCGATACGAACTTTTCCCAGCACAGTCTCGCGAATGTAGTGCCATTGCTACTGGTTGTGGGTGGTCGCTTCGTGTTCATCATGTCCTCCCCTCTCGGGAACACCGTGCACAAGAATGGTCCTGGCTACGGATTAACTCCGGTATTCTTCCAAGTCGTGCTTTGTCTGTTTACTCTCGTTCTTCAGATGCGAAAGGAACATGACCCATTCAGGAGACGAGATGTAGATAGCAGAACTGCTTCTGCTTGATCGGCAGAAGTCAATGCAACTCAGGAATCTCGGTTCATCCTAATGCTTTGATTTTGGGCGACGGGTGCCCCGCACCAAGTTGGCAGGCTTAGCTACAACACCTAGGGTGTCACATGTGAAGCTCCACTGGCTCATGTCGTCGAGTTGCTTTCATGGTAAGGAGTTTGACACTGATTCTGGAACGTTTGTGCAGATTGCCGACCGTACATTATGTGATCTCTTAATGACCATTTGTAAAACTTGCTTGACGTCGACCGCGCATACAATTGACGGAAGCTCTGTAAGTACAAGTTTGCCCTCCATTTATTTTGAGTCCAGTGGGAGTAAGTGGAGGCCCTAGTTTCCGAGTGGCTCTGACAGGAACCACGTCCCAAACAGCACTCAACACCATTCCGATATTTCGAATACTTTAAAAGATGGACGATGTCTTGGCGGTGGTTGATTCAGGCGTAGATGGGCACTGGCGGCATGGACACAATAACGTTCAAAGTCCGATGACGCATTTTTAGCGCGCTACCCAGCGTCTCCTCAATTTTGCAGCGAAACCTATTGGAGAAGACTGATGCGTACTCTCTGTCAGACTCTCTTCTAGTGAATCCTCTTCGGTGTTCCTCATCTCTATAGTCGTTGTCACCAGTGTTTCGCATTTCTGAGCTAGTTCATTTGCAGTCTTGACCATTGGCATGACCATACATATGGTACAGAATTTGGCCCACCAATGTGCAGCTTCGTCTGGCTTACTGTAAGTTTAATACACCTAGGATGAAGTTTTAAGGCGATTGGAACACTGGACACCTGTTCGTACATTTTTCTGGCATGAACGAAAGCCACATACTATTTTCATTCTGGACGTGATAGTCTGGGATCCTTTTGACTGGTCGTTACAAGCCATTGCATCGCCCATCACTCGATCGATGTCTTTCAGGCCGATTTCAGAGAGCTCGACTGTATTTCGAGGTTGGCGCGCATAGATGCTTGTCTGTCGCCGATGCTAGCACGTCTGTAGCATCTTGGGACGCATCACAGAGCTTTGTGGGGGCAAGTTCTAAGTGACTGGGTCATTCGCTCTGAGCGATAATAGACAAAATGTCCGATAGCTCCACTTAGCGGTCGACAGCTTTGGTTGATGTCTCTTCGTATAGATCCCGGATATGATTTCCATTTGAGATCACAAATGTTACTGTGACTCAGGGTTTTGAACGTTGTGCTCGATTGGATTACGGATCTCACGGAACTAAGCGGAGCGTTAACAAACACTGGATTCACAGTGATCTTCAATGAACAACCGACACAAACTGTCTTGTTGCTTTTTCATAGCATGACCTGCAAAATCGTCGATAGCCTTTAGCTTCGTCTTCAGAATGAGGCCAAACAACTCAGCAGTGATATTGTTGCACGAGTGGGTTTTGGCAAAAATGTACCAAGGCTGTGAACTGGAGCAATAATATGATCCACACAACTTAGATCCGAGAGCACTGAGTAGCGGTCATCGAAGTGGTTCGAATGGGCGTACGCACGGGAATGCGTGATGAGAATTGGAAGAGTAGCCTCTGGTGAAGCGGGATAGCAAAGATAGTGCGGTCACACTCCAGCTGACCATAATTCCAGCGCATCAGTGTGGTTTATTGACCCACCAAAATAAGTTCATAATCAGACTGTTTTATTGCTTTAAAACATATATGCACAAATGATTGGAGAGTTATTTTAAAGTACTCGCTGTGTGATTGGATTGCGATGCATAACCTCAATGTGGACTGTGATTCGCATTGAAGCGAACTTTGCTCAATTCGATCACTAGGACGGTAGATGAAGCAGAGGGAAACTGAGTGTTTGGTGGGTAGCACTCATTATTTGCCTAAATGTTTTCAACGGCAGGAACCACGGAACTTAACGGAATGTACATGTTTGTATAAAGTAGAAGTCGCGATTAAAATTCACGCACAATAATATGCCCCGTCGAGGCATATTATTGTGCGTGAATTTTGAATGTACATGTGTTGAGTATGGTACTACCCGGTTTCCTAAGGCCAAGCACTGGCTTGTCTTAGCGGGTTGCAGCGTGAACCCATGGCTGAATGGCGTACTCCCTAAGCAGTGGAGCTAAGTTAGGGTATCGTACAGATTGGGAGCCGCTGACCAATTCTACAGCCTATGCACCTTCGTTATGGTGAGTTCTCGAATGGGGTGTCAATACACACCGCACACACCCTCTGAACTACGATGCTTCACTGAGGTGAATTAAAGGACAGTGACTTTTTCAATATATTGAACAGTGGCCTTAGTTAATGAGGAGCCACAGTAGCCACGTCGCGGTGTTGCTAAACGGGCGTTAATCATATTTTACAGGGAGAGCTCTTGTCAAACAGAAACTCACTACATCCTGGAACACTGGCGACGAACCTTTCTGCTGGAATGAGACAAGCTTATGGCGTCACAGAGGAAGTTTGGCAAACCAGCTTGAAAAGATGGATGGTGATTCAGAGTCCGGTGTGCTTGATAGCGGGGTGTGGATTGCACCTGACCAAACTGCTCATGTCGGGTGATACCTCATACCTTCGTCTGATCGTGCACGGCTGAGGCATCGTATACAGCCAGTGGACAACGATCGCCCTGCTAAGTCGTGATGAAGATCAGTTGAGTGGGCAGCGTGCTGAATTATCTAGTAAGGGAGAACGCCCGTCTTACATGCGTCATACGAGTCTGCACACAGTTTAAACGGCTACCATACATATGCGTAATGCATCTGAGTGTTTCGGTTGGCGTCTGATCTGACGGTCCGTGACACACAAGTGTCTTCGATCCCACATAGTACACCACCGATATCTCAGGTTATCCATTTCACACTGAACCATGCCCATGCTGGATATGATTTCATCTTTGATTTTTTTGACGCACACGACAGTTCTCTCCGCATCGGTGCAAAGTCCTGCAGGTGAACGCAGTTGTCTCCAACACCAATCCAACCGACGGGTTATCATCGTCTGTAATAATCCTCGATGCAAGCATACCGAACCAGAAAGTGTATCGACTTGCTCATTGCTCTTCACAGCACGAGTCGACACCGGCCTGCAAATTCTCTACATGTCTGAAACGAAGATCTCTTGGTGCAGTTCGAACTGCACACTGTAATGCGACCCCGGGAAAATCACAAAGAATCGAGGTAAGTCGGTCCATTTGAGCGACGCCAATCCAGTATACGTTGTTTTGCCTACTGAATGCTTAGCAAAGACAGGATATAATCATCCCGATCTGCATATAGCGGGGCGACGGCCTTAATTATTTAATTTTCACTGGTTGAGTGAAAATGAGTGCTCAGTGGTTACCTGCGGTTGTTGTGTGTAAGAAACACGTTCTTATCCCATTTTACGCACCCTGAAGATATGCGTTCTGGCATGGTAACGAACGACTTCCTATGTCTGCCATTTTCTCATCCATCCGATCAGATCGCGCAAGCATTGCGTCGATTGTGGCCGTCTGGTTGGACACTTCACAAGTTATTAAAATGTGGCCCGCGCACCCCGATCAGAACGGAGTTTCAATCCAATCAACATGGCGAGAACTCCGATCGATGGCGTTTCCATTGCTCTGCAAACCACCTCGCTTGGTTATCACTACTGTCTTTGTTCCCCAACCCCACGGTTCAGGAGTCCCCATACACCAAGCAAAACAGTGCGTTGCTTTCGGTGGACAATACAGAAAACTTTATTGCTAACGCAGACGGACTGACTTCCTGATTGTATATTGCTGTTTTGTCCTGAAAAAGATACCATTCGTTGACACCTGGCATTTCCGTGTGCAGCGCACCTCAGTGAATTAACATCTGGCCCGTCCCACCCAACCTCTATCCACTGATGTCTCTTTCACAATTTGCTACTTTTTTCTGACTTTTGCATCGTTTTTCATCTGACGCTGTTTACACACTGAAACAAGCGATCGAAAACAGATTGATATTGTTTAACATTATTCTGTGATGAAAAATTTTAAAGACCATGAAAACACTTTTATCTTCGCTTATTGTCGGTTGGCAGTAGGGACGACTATGAATCAGGATCCGGTTTTAATAAAGAATTCTCCCTTTGACGGTCGGAACGCACCGGACATAGAAGTGATTGCGTCGAAGTTGACACGTTCCTGGATTTTAACTGACTTTACATTCTCTTCGTGCTTTTTCACCAAAATCAATGGACAACCTTGGGGATCTCCTTGATTGGGGCACTCAGTCCAACCATGCGCTTGGATCAGCTGATTAAGTTCAGGTCCAGACATGTCCAGAAACTGACCGAGGAGGGTCTTTGGTATATGCTGATAGGTGTTTGTGACGACTTGGACGATAACTGTTTCAAAAGAAAGATGTGAGCAGGCGAGTCAATGAACATGTTGCAAGTTACGGGGGTTAAGAATAAAGAAGCATTTTTGCTTTGTCTCGTGAAGCGAGGCCAACCATTTTATCCCGATTAAAAAATCACTAGCGAGTAGCTATGTTTTCAGCTAGAGATGGATGAAGAGAAGAATGACATTATAAGCTCAGTTTATAATTGCATATCGGTGACAAAGAATGTGTAAGGAATGAGCTCACATCACTGGCCTAAGCCATCTAAACATCCATGTGTATATCGATCCGTGGTGAATATTTTGAGTCAGTCTATAATGTTCCCAGAAAAGCTGTCAAACAACCAAATCACACAAAATACAGTCATCGGGATGCGAAACTCACACACACGACTTGGTCACGCGAACAGGTTTCCAATAAAGGAGTGAATTTATTAAAATTAAGGAGAATCTACCGGTAATTCAGCTATGCATTCAAAAGTTTGCTGCGCCACTCGAATGCGGGGCTATTGTGATTAGTCGAGTGCAGCCAGTGCTGTGTGTGTGTACACAATCAGTTATTAGCCTCAGACTGCCGTGGATATAAGGACCGAATCGCCATTATCTATTTTGATCTTCAAGTTTGTTTGCTTGATCACATGTGTGGTTTAGTATTGTTTCATATCGGTTATTGCTGTTGGTACTGAGGAGACAATACGAAATGCTTGCATCTACCGTTGTCGTTTCCTGCTGCAGTTTTCGGATCCAGCTACAATTCACGCACTGAATTGCCGAAGATAGGATGCAGTTACGGAGAGAAGGAAAATGGAGAAAAGAAATTTGCGGCAAATGTTCAACGTAAATGCAAGTATAAAGGACTTAATTCGTAGGATGAAAAGTGAAACAACGGTGCGATTGGCTCCGGGTGATTTCTAACCATAGATACAGTCAGTTTTAGTACTCCCATCCAGGAAAACGATACGTATAAGCCCGAATAATTCTTCGTGGCAGACTACCGGCCGGTCGTCCTGAGGCTCTATACATTGTCCAAAAACAACACAGGTTAGGTGACCGGCAAAAATCAAGCCAACATGAGGTGGGCCATGCGCAACGGTAGTCCTAGGAACACTAATTGGTGAACGTCAGCATTTCCCAATAAGCGATCCCGTTAGCTGTGATCAGTGATACACCAGTCACCGGTCGTTCCGTGTATTCGGACCACACACAGACCAATTGCGGCGTGACACTCCCTGTTCTTCGTGTGTCTAATTGCTACTGGATATAGCTAACGCAGGATGTGGGCAATCCAAACAGGACAAGTGACATTCATCTCACTAATTGGCCATCTATGAGTTTTGGACAACCGAGTGGGACAACGGTAAACAATACGCACTGAACAGAACACTAAGAAGACCCATGTTGCAACATGGAACAATGGTATATGACGGGTAAAAAAGCATACACTTAACGAGTCCCGCAGGTTGGCAATAGAAATACTAACAAATTGGCAAACCACATAAGTGGTTGAAGTAAGGAGTGTCAGTGAGATAAAAGGTAGAAGTATAACAGTTTTAGGGGGATAAAGTGGTACGACGCAAAACTGGCTAAGAAATTGTTATCGCTGGTGATGGTAGCAAATAAAAATGGAGTACTCACCGGTTCGCACAGATTTACGACCGTGAATTTGGGGTACAAATCCAAAGAGGCTGGTCAGCTTAAATATATACAAGCGTTTTCGTTCATAAAACAAAGCGCAGGGCGCTCAGTGCGACGTCCAATCGTTTTTTAAACGTATCTAATGTGGGGGCAAACAACTGAGTTTGGAAGGGCGTTCCAGGTATCAGTTTGTGCCCTCTGTTCATTTGCAAACCAGAAACATATCAAATGATAACGTGACAAAATTCAATAAGTTGAAACCGGTAAGTCACAGTGCAAGGGAGGTAAACGGTAGCTACAAGTCGACGCACTGAGGCGACCGGATTTTAGGCACATGGAGCACATAACATATCCACTAGTATAGGCGGTTCGGATTAAGTAAACACTTCAATGCGGCACCAGATGGTCTGCTACCAAATGACGAATATCAGTGTTAGTCGTTCGATGCTCCTACTAGAAATGAGCAGTGAATCCAAGTCATCGGTGATTAAACACGGCGAATCTCTTAATGCCGTTAGCATGCAGTGGTTTCTTTTCCTATCCGCACAATAACACCGGCCGCACCGCATCTGTGTATACCCTCCATACAATTATTTTACACCCCATCGTCTCCACAAGTGATGGAGGCTTTGAAAAGACATAAGGGCCCCAGTGAAACGCGAAGCAAGCACTTGTGAAGCATCACAAGTACTGAGTGAGCGCTCATAAGTATGCAAAAACGAAGACTCGGATCCAAGTTGCAGAAATTGCGAGCCAAAAACTTAAGTCACTAGACCGATGACAGTGCTTTTCGCTTGGAAAGTGCGAGGCCCATGCCAAAGCGCTTAAGCTATAAGGTAGCGTCTGCAAAGACAGCTATACAGTCAGTGTGCCCTACATTTGACATAACACTCCCCAAGAAGAGTATGGATGCAAAAACACTCTGGATCAATTTGGTGGTGGAGTCAATGAGAACATGGGAAATATAGTAAACCTAACGCATTTCACCTATCCAGTTTAACCAACTTTGCAGTTACTCGTGACTCACTGTAAAATCCCTGGTGTCCAGTTGTACAGACTACACAATGGAAAATTCCGTGTTATTCAGAGATGGATGCGATCAATTGGATAAAAAATCGAATGAGAGTCAAAGAAAATCCTCAGGACGGGACATTTATGAGCGTACAAACATCCGATTGAGCGTGAATGTGTGATCAATGCACTCATTGTGATGGCTGAAGCCAACCCACGGCTTGGTTCACCGCGCTCGGGGAGCAGCGTGCCATCTTAGCAGGATGCAGCTAAATAGCTCAAAAGTGAAGATGAAGCTAATACCACAAGAACCACCAAGAAACTTTCTTTTGACTCCAGATAAAGACGGAAACGATGATTGATCATCGTTTGTCGGAGAGAACTTCTTCGTTGGAGCAAAAATTTCAAACAAATCGACCGAGTCATTCGTTAGTGAAGAATCACTGTTTATGATAGATGGCAAGTGATTTGTTCCGCTCCAACAGCACCAGCACGTTGCGGAAGTTGAGGATAAAGAGAGAGCTGTGACTACAAAATCAACACAACGGGTGGCAGAATGCCTCTTCAGAATGTTAGGCCCAGTATTCAAGACTTGATGACTGGGACTGAAGCGGATGTCCATTGTGTCAGTTTCAATCGTAAGAGCCTCTCTTAGATCAATGCAGCGCCGACAAGTTAGTGATTCTATGAGACAGTCTATTCATAACCTGTTGAAACGATGAGACAATTGGATTTAACACATCGAAAAATACTTTGCTTGGCGATTTATCACTTTCACTCCCGATCAGTCACTGTCCTGCTTCCGAAGCGGCCCAATTGGATACACATCTAGCACAGTCGAAAGGATTATACTGTTCAGATTGAATAGGACCCAATGACAGAACGAACTTACTTTACCTCTCTTCAAATTCAGAGGGACCAGCTCTTGTAGACGATTCACACAGTTAGTGTAATTGTTGGAACATAAAACCGACTGGAGCAACTCTGCTATAGTCCTGATTTTCGAGAAGGCCTAACCTCCTGAATGCGGAAATCACAGAGGTATCAGTTTGACTTCTGTCGATTACAAGATATAGCTGAATGACTGACTGCGTTTCGTCAAAATAGGGGCTTGCATTAACCACAACTTCATATCAGTTGTTGCAGCAAGGCCAAGTGTGTTAGCGACCCATCCTGGTTGTGCTTCTCAACACCAAAAGTGCCTTCGACTCGGCGAGTTGATGTGCACTTCGGGAATGTCGGGTTAGGAAATGTGTGCCGGTTAAATAAGTAAATATTGTAACCGCGTTTAACGCGCGTAGTATGAACAGAGTAAGTTTTTATGGTAAACTGTCGCGGTCCAGTAATATAGGACGTGGATGTTTGCTGTCATATTTCCTAAGTAACCTCGCCACTGACGAAGTTAAGAAGACTGGGCTCAACGGACTCGACTTAGAAAGTGTGTATACGCACTTAGATTATCGAGCTCCCGAATTGAAATAAACCTGCGCTTATGTGCGAAAGCTCACAAACGTGTCAAGCAGCACTGGATAGATTATAGCACTTCTATCAGTCACTTCATGCTGTGCTTTGCACAGCTGCTCTAGGATTAGTAGGAACGAACGTCTGCGCTAACTCTTGGTGGGTCTCAGCTAGAAGTCATTAAAAATTCAACCACCTGGGCAGTTATATCAGCGCGATGGCGCTTTCGCACCGACGCGATACCATATTCAGCATGAAGGTTAAAGTCTACAATCTTATCATCAGTTCAACTCAACTGTACGGCTGATACACGAGGCTCGTCAGATAAACAGTTACTGTCCTTTGTAATACAAATGATCCACAGTTCGCACTTATTTCATACAAGCTCACCGAATATGCTCAGAAGAGTCAATCTAGACAGAATTACAATGTATCGCGCCTACTCCACGTAATAATGGTTATCCCAAAAAATTATTCCAATATATGGGGAATGGAATGTCAGAAGTGAAAAACGAATGGATATCCTCAAGAAAAAGGCCTACATTATGCTACCATAGAAAGGATAACTGAACGACGCAACATTCTGCTGACGATTAACGTCATATCATGAAGAGGTGCTACTACGCAGCTGAGCTCGTGCTGTTACACCAGACCAAGAAACCTCTATAAATCTAATTTGGATAGGCCTAACTCTCCTACTGATCCCTTTTCATTTGCATTCATTTAATCATTCCATTGCTTGTCTGTACACGGCTGATTGGTAAGACACGAAATAATCTGAATTCAGGTTATCCCGCTCTAATGTGGTTCGTTCTTGCAATCATAATGAGGCTAGTGTTATTCAACCACCGGTGTCTCTAAATTTCAATGGCTTGTGAAAACACCGCATGAGAAATAA